TCTCAAAGGAGCGTTACTGATATATAAAATCCAGCGCATTTTCAGTGCATCATAACTTATTCAGTCGCCGCAAGTGTCGTGACTATATTCCCTGATGTCTGATCGTTTGCTGCTAACTTCATTTGATTGAAGTTTACTGGTTGGTCCTCGGGTAAACAACATGTAATGAAATAGTTCTTAACCCAAAATTTCATTTTGATGTTCGATATCTTTTGTGAAATAGTTAGCTATGTTCCCTTATTATGAAGAAAATCAAAGGAGACTGGCATTTTTATTCCACAGGATAACCTTCCATATTGGTTTTAGATTCCACCTTTTAGCCATGAAAATTGTATCATGCTGACCTGAGTTCCTTATTAGAGAAATGTGATTGGCAATGGAATGGCCAATATGTTAGACACATAGCTCCAGTGGTCAATTTATGGATCCAGAACTAAATTTCGGGAATAGAATACGGGCCAAAGCATTCCTATTTATGATCAAGAATAGATAATCAGTCCAATATGGTTGTCGAGGGGCCGCACTTTAAGAATGGATCTAGCGTAAAATGAAAAACAATGTACTAAGCAGAATCTACCAAACAATTACCTCAGAGCTTCCATTAAGTTACGGACAAATTATTCAAAATCACTTCAGTTCTAAGTGCAGGTTATGGGTACATAGACGAGGGTTTCATGCATATTCTCTGTCATATTTGTTTAATAATAAAAAGAGAAAAATATCTGGAGACAGCATTTCGGCAGATCTCTCGCTTACTGGCAGTATGCACAATAGGTTTTTGGGTTTGGGTGCGGAACAACAAATTATTTGATATTGCTCTGACCCTTAAAAGTTACAATTCAATTATTTATCATTTTTAATCGAAGTATATGCATAAGAATACTCATTTTTATAAAATTCGCCATTAAACAAGCGGATCCTATGCGCTTATAAAATATATATAAGTAAAATGTAGACAATTATACGAAATTCCCATTTCTCAACTTCAAGTGGGTGCGTCGACCACAATGACAAACATCAAAGTCTGGAGGTCTGTGCAAAAGTATTCGTGACTATGTGTCAAGTGGAGAAAGTACGACCTTTATTGCAGTTATTCTTGGCTAGTAGTAGAATTTTTTTATATAGTATGTACCAGGAATTTGGTACACGTTTGTCCTTTTATTTGTCCAGCTGTTAGTGAACAGAACAATTAATTATAGAGTTAATTTGTTGCTTGTTTGAGTTTTTATACAGGATGTCACTAAAATTCTGTCTAAAAGTCCGTATTAGTGAGACTCCTTAAACTTATAAGACATTTTGGGTTGCAGATGCAACACTAAAAGTACCATCTTCAGATTTAATAACAGTAGCAGCTTCCCATTTTATTATATTTGCGTCTCAAATCTAAATAACTGTAAAAACATGTATCTGCTTATTCTTATGGCCTAGATAATATCTTGAAAAATATCTATAACATGAAGTGCAGATAATTTTAGACTATGTTGATTTTTCTTATCTTTAGAGCAGCAGAATTGTTATAAAATCGTAATAGATTCTTTCGCTAGACACGGGTTCACTTCGTACGAGCAAGAGTGTTATAAATGTTGGAATTTTAGAACAGTAAGCATAGCAATATTTTAATTCACGCGTCGACCTTGGAGCAATTTATTTAAATAAAAAAAAAGTTAAAAATGAGATATTAACTGGATCAAGTTGCCCACAGAGACCTTGCTAGGCTGCATTTTACTCCTCCAAACAGGGCGTGGTCCTACAGCAATGACAAGAATTCCACCATTACAGTACACTCGCTGCCAATAAATATATTAAATGGGTTTTTAGAAACACACAATAGATTTATTTATTTTGTTAAATCAATCCGTTAGAATGCAATTTGTCACAGAATTAGTATGGTATATAAAAGTTAATTTCAATCGTTGCCGTCGTCAGCATTTCTTGTTCTCTATTATTAACATTATTAGCACTTGCCTGAAATCCGTTGTAATTGGCATAAAAAAATTTTTATTTTGAACATTTCATTTTACTTTTTGTAAAATTATATTAATGACTTAACCTCAAGAGGGTGCCGCATGTTATAACTCCTATATTTGATTTTAATTAGTTTGATACCTTGGACGTAAAATAAACGTACAAATATTGACAATAGAATACGTAATAACGTAAAATACATAAATATAAATAAAAAGCTGATAGGGCAAATATATGTTGTAATTTGATTGATAAAAATCTCGATAGACTCTCAACACTTTCAACATTGTTCTTTCAAAAATAGTTAAATGCTTATAATGCAGGAATAAGATATCTATTTTATCGTGACTGAATTAAGTTCTGTACAACGTGATTTTGTAGCTTTTAGAAACGATAACAGGGCATATTTCTCACAATAAACATTGTTTAATAATTTCAATATGACATGTATGTATTTCTTCTTTAATACTATCTAGATAGATCTCTTATTTTAAATATTAAAGAATATATGACGACAATTAAAAAGATAACATTTTAAATTAATTTGGAATAGATTAATATCCTCAAAGTGAAATATTCATGTGTTTTCTTGGGTAGTAAATAGTTTCTTCAGGATTTCAAAGAATTTTCAACCTACGACCTATGTAGGTAAATTGTGAAATAATATAACCACTGGCCTTCAGTATCTTACTTTATTGTGCCTTGTAGGGGTTCTAGGCGCCTTAGAAATCGTTGAACTATTGTCTGAGATTTCCTTTTTCTCAAAGAATGTAATAGATATTCTGAAAAGAATGTTTTTCATCCAAGATTATTTCTAGTATTCTTGTTACTGTAGCGTTATTACATTCCGCTGTACATACTTTAATTTAAAGGTAATTGCTGCTTTGTTCATGTTTCCTATAATTTACTCGACGACTGAAATATAGCGGAATATGTGAATATGCGGTGTTCCCATATGGAACATATCGGAATTTAAAATAAAACAACAAAACCTGAGACCAATATTTCCTCTAATTTTTTCGCTGACTGTGCGGTACGAAAGGATATAAGAGCAAAAATGATCAAACAATTTTTTGACCTAAATTTTACTTTTTTTAGTGAAATTTGGATTTTTGCCATTTTTAGATGCAATTGTGCGCAGAATACAAAAGCGGATGCACCCGCGCAGCTGAGAGAAAAAATGCTCGTGGTCTCAACTGAGACTAAATAGACCACTGTCAAAAAGTTGTATTTTTTAGCAACATTTGTCAAGAAATTATAGTTTGCTATCTCCATCCATAGTAATCATGGATCATGAACTCATTAGGCGCAAAATAGTTTATGTAATCCCTGTAAATAAAATTGTTGGCGTAAAAATCTTTACTTATTTTTAGGACAATATAAACGTTAACATTATTCAGTGCAATTATTGTTTTCAATAGAATAGAATTTATTGACCATTTATATACACTCATAGGAACATTTTCAGTTATAACATTAAAATACATAAAAACCATTAACAAGTAGTAGTAACAGAAAAGTAACAATTCGATAATAAATCATTTTTGGCAAATGAGTGGAATTCTTTTGATGACATCTGTTTTATTAGTTTGTACTTAAAGCAATTGTCAAAGTTATTATAAAGACTAATAGATAGTATTATTGTTCTTGGTTATACCAATTCAAGAAAAAGGAATTATAAGATTTCCGGCATGCCTAGTATTGTACTGGTGTATATCAGAGTTGTTAGATTCGACAAATTTTTGTGTACTAATATTCACGACTCCAACAAGTACAAACAGGGCAGTGGTAGAATCCCAAATTTTTTAAATAAATCATTGCTAGGTGTAAGGTTTGGTACCGCTGCAAAAAGGTAAAAGGCGACTGCCTTTTTTATGTATAATAAACGTTTTGTGAGCCTTACTGGAGTCAGCCTTAAGACAAGCGACTCTGTATCATTGAAAAATACAGAATTCTCATGACATTGTTATCCACAAAAAGTCTCAACTATTTAATTACAAAAATTTTAGTGGAAAGCTTTGAGCATAGAATGTTTATATGATCTCCCCATTTCAAACACGGATTAAGAGTAATATCAAGTAGTTTTACTGAATTCGTTTTAGCACACTATTTATCAGAGGTGAAAGTTATGTTTTGCGTTTTTGAAATATTGAGTTTTAATTTATTAGCAGAAAATCAGGTTTCAGCCAAGTTAAGAATATCTATGAATTCACAGATCTTGGAATTAGCAAGGTCGTATTATCAGCAAATAAAATACATACACTGTTACGGATATTAACAGGTAAATCATTTATATAAATTAAAAAAAGAACCGGTCCCAATACGGAACCTTGCGGAACTCCATTTCATGTGGGGAGCATACGGGATCTAGCTCCATTGACACAGACATACTGCTATCTACCAGTTAGATAGGACTGAGAAAGTTTTAGTTCATTCTTACGAATACCATAATATCCAAGTTTAAGCAGCAATATGTCAACATCAACGCAGTCAAATGCCTTTGTAAGGTCACACAAAGTTGCTTAAGTTGCAGTACAGTTATCTAATCCCTCAACCACTCCATCTAAAACCGCCAGTAAAGCTCTAATAGTAGAAAACCTTTTCCTAAATCCGTGTTGATGTGGCGATAATATTGATTTACCTTCCAACTTCTCCTTTACAATATTTTCAAATACTTTTGATACAATAGGCACAATGGTAAAGGTCTAAAGTTGTCAAATGCGTCATTGTCCTTTTTATGAATGGGTAAAATCTTAGAAACCTTCAGAGGATCAGGCCAACAACCCTCTTCAATAAACTTGTTGAAAAGTCAATGAAGCAACAAAGAACTCCAGTGATATCTTGATTATACGGCTGTTTAAACCATAAAAATCAAGACAACTAGAATTCCTTAATAATGATGTGAATGTAGTTTCTTTCTAGATATGTTTCCTCATTTTTCTTGATTTGAAAGATCTTTTAGTCGTTTAAAACCCATTAGTAAAATGTACTAACAAATTGAAATCATAACTTGAATAATCTTTTAACGCAGGAAGTTTAATCAGTATTTCCTTTATTACTTTAAATTAAAACTATTACTTATTTAGTTTCATAGTACAGAATAGTACAGAAATTATGACTATAACATACACAGTTTCCTAAGTCTACAATAAGCGTGTCCAATGATAAATCGACAGTACCATGTTACTTCTCTTCTTTGTAAGAACCGTCGTCATACAGCTGCTCCGTATTGTCCGGAACATAGGCACCATCTGTACTCTCGATATCTCCCAACAAAGCAGCGGGACTGACAGCTGCAACTGCAGCAGGAGAAGCGACAACGGCAGCTGGGGCAGCGGCTAGGGCAGCGGGGACAATTGCAGGTCCCGCAAGTGTGTTAATTGTAGCGATGGAACCCGCTGGTCCAGCAACAACTATTTCGGGACCTGTGAATTGATTTTAGAAACAACAGGTTATCAGATGCCAAGGGAATATTGTAAACCGCACATTTTTCCTGTCAACAATTTTTTATTAAGGATTAACAAATTTCAAAAAATTTGGTTTTATATTTGGAAGAGGAACGAAAATCTCCAATTTGAGTTGCCCATTTACATATTTAAAATTCTATTACCTTAAACCAATATATGTATAATATACAAAATGTTTTAACCGCCGAACCATATACTTTCCATTTTCAACCTATAGGAAAAATTTTGAAAAAAGATCAACTTTTGACAATATTGTCAGAACCTTTCCACCAATGAAGCTGGTAATTATAAGAAACGTGTTTCAAGGATAAAGCAGACTAAATAAACCTTATTGGTGAAATATTTTCACTTTAAATTCAAATGTAAGTGGTAACATATTTCTATAGCTATTGTTTTTATGTTAAAACAACAGAAATACAAAATATTCCTTTGAATGATTGCATTATTTAACAATTTCGCGATATCAGATATGTATTTTTATATTAAAAATATTTGGATATACATTTTTAATTTTATTTTGTGTAAGTAAGCTAATATACTAACACAATTATCGTCAGAAGTCTTTCATTAAGATATGTCCTTACTCTTAAGAGAAATATGAATGGTAGAGGAGTAAGAATGGCAGCTTATCGCCTTAGGAATCGTAAATATTGGAGGAGAAATGGCACGTGGTATGATTTACGGATGGTTGACAAAGAAACTATAGTTACAGTTAATGTAACTTATAGTTACATTTTAAACTATAAACTGTTCACAATTGCTAAATAAACTACCAAATAACAACATGGTTAGGAGCGTGGATCATAAAAGATTTAAATAAAATGAAAATACAAATGAATTTAACAAAAAAGGAGTCTGCAGCATTCACAATAATGGCATATATGCTATATATAAAATGTAGTATTACCTGAAGGAAGTATTGCAGGAGCAGCGGCCACAAGACCAATTCCACCATCGTTGGTCACAACTGTCCCTCCTGGTGCTGCCGCAGAGAGGGTGCTACCATCTGGTCCCAAAAGTGTTGTCTTACTGCCTGGACCCTGAAGAACTTCGACTGTTGGAATTATTCCAGCGTTGACCGCTGTGGCAAGTAGAAGAAGAATTCCTGCGAACTAAATTTATCCTTTTATAAATTGACAATAAGTAGATATTACCTAAAATTAGACAAAAATAAATACATACAGGGAAGTCAATTCAAAGCTATGTTACTGGAAGCTATTTCTAATGTATTTGTATAAATATTTATAGACCTAGTTGTTTGTTATCGACACAAATCGTTTTTGACATAAAGTTAATAGTAATAAAAACCTGTAAACTACAATTGCTTACTTATTTAGCAAAATAAATGCATAACGTCAAATGGCATAACGTCAAATATTAAGATTTGTAAAAAATGGCATGGTGTCTTCATTCTTAACAACGTTATCTCGAAAACGGTTTGTACGAAATCAAACAAGTACATCGTTTTCATTTAAAAAACTGCGAAAATCTTAATAATAAAAAAAAGAAAAATTAAAAAAATTAAAATAATAATAAAATATTATTTTTTGCCCAGATTAAGCACATGTAGAAATTAATCTAAATAATTCTTCTATGTTACACAAATTTAATGAAAAATATAAAACTTATAAACAAAAATATATTTTCAATTATTAGTTTCAAGAGCTAGTCAATTTATAGGATGAGCCCAAATAAAAAAAAATGTATGTACATGAACTTAAAAAACTGACCACCATTTCGTAGATAGTCTGTCAGAAACGAACTAGGAAATTGGGTGTCAAAGAAATAGTGTAATAAACAATAAGAAAATAATGTGTGCACGAGCATAGTCTTCAAACTGCATTTTATAAAAATTGAGCCCTTTGAATGATATGCCAAAAAATTATTTTTGTTTTTTGCAGCTCTTGAAACGTAATTTTACTATATCTTGTAGTGCATAACATAAATAATATTTTAAAGACGGTTATATCTACCAATTTAAAATAAGAGTACGTTTTTTATTCATTTCAAAATAATTAAAAAAAAAGGAAACATACCTTTTATTTATTTAAGATACCCTAGTTACAAAAATTAAGGGATATTAAAAAAATCCTAATCTTTTGGGTGATTTTCAATGAGCTGTAACTTAGAGGGAAATAGTCATAGAGAGAATAAAAAAAGGAAATTGAAGCTTCATGTTTTTAGTTTTTGGATCTGGAGTGTACAATTTTTGGTTTTTGATTAAAAACAACGAAAAAATATTTACAAATTTTTGCTTGTCTTTAAAGTGGTCTGTGCACATTTTTTCATCAAAAGTCAATAATTACAAGTTGTAGAGAATACTTTGCAATTTCCACAGCCCTACTTGGATTTTCTGTACGATCATTATTTCCCGATTAATTGATTGCCAAAGTCAAATATGACTTTTTTGCTTTGAGCTTCGATAATTCAGAGATAAATCATTGTACAGGGCTCCGCAACCTCTCAAATTGAAAGGAATTAAATTATTCAGAAGAGCTTTATGGTGAAATTACCAAAAAAAATTGTTGTAGTCCATACACCTTTTTAAAGATAAGCAAAAATTTGTAATTGTCTTTTTTCGTTGGTTTTCTTATAATTAATCAAAAACCGCTGACACTAAAAAATGTATAACTCCTGATCCAATAACTAGAAAAATGAAGCTTTAATTTAATTTTTTTATTTTCTTTACGACCATTTCCCTCCAAGTTACAGCTCTTTAAAAATCACCCAAAAATATGAATTTTTTTAATATTCTTAATTTTTGTGACTAGTATATATAATATATTTTATAATTACTTGTTTTATAGCACTAAGTTTTTGTTCATAACTTATGGCTGTTAAGGAACACTGTTGCAGCTTTTTTTATGAAACACCTTCAATCAATGGTTTATCAACGTAGGTACACATATAATCAAACATGTATATTTGTCATTATCTATGTACAAGATCAGAAGTCCTCATTTGCTCTCGACCATTATTTTCACACATAAATCATGCAACATTTATAAATATTAATGAGCCCGTCATTCACTACAATGATATAATACCGCGTAATACACAAAAGGTTCAATTAAATATTTTTTCTTTGATACGACCACATACCTTGGAAGCCATTTTCGCTTCTTCGAGACTATAACACTATGAACTAATGCCTTAGTTATCCCGTACAGTTTTATATCGACTTCCAACCTTGCCGTAACGGCCGAGCCCGGAATAAATGCATACGGTTTACTAAGTATCTGCATAAGAAAAATTATGTTTTAATGTGGATTATAAATTAAACGGATTAGCTCCCAGCAATTTTTTACTGCCTTATTTGCCCTGAGTACTGTTGAAAAGTGTTTTCCTCTCTATTTTATGTACATACGTGAAATTCCACAGCACTAGGGTATACGTATGTCATAGATATGTTGTGACTTTTACATACTGATTCATATACAAAGTGTTCGAAAGTTTTATTATTATTGTAAAAAACAGAATTTTAATAATAGGCTTGTCAAGAGAATGAACGACCAAGACCTCCTTAGATTATTGGATTGAATTAATCTCAATACATTGAGCTGTACACTTTTCATCTAACTGTAAGAGAAAAAAAAAACATCTTGAGAAAAATTGCGGGTTGGACAATAAATTCCTACAGATGTTTAGAGCTATTAAGAAAGAAATTGAAATTATTTATTAGACTCCACCAAACTCAATACAAAATGAAGTCGATAAAAAATATGCAGGTTGACCCAGAAGTGGCGGTCGATCATCAAGGATCAAATAGGGAACTGCAAGGACGACCTTTTATAGGAGCATGATGTTATTCAGGCTGTTACAAATTCGCTTCTCACTACAGGGATCTCGGAAACATTGAAGATAATTTTTTCGAGACAAAACGTCTGAATCTTGTTCGGGTTGAGGGAGTATAGTACTGGGGGTCTTAAACACTTGCAAAAAATGTAATAAAATTTCCAGGGTCGTATTTAAAAAAACGAAGTTGATGATGGTCCTGGAGAGACGAAACGTTACATATAAAAATTCATTATGCTATTCGATAGACGGCAAAAAGTTGCCATGAGAAAGTGTTCTTTTTTCAATATAACCTCAAATAAGGCTGAAATAAAACAAAAATGGATTTCCAAAATTTCGGTTTTTTCAAATATTTCGAAAACTAATCATATTAGTCTTGATTTTTTAGAGGCACAATGTTGGTCTCCTAATTACGTAACTTTGCCTCCATTTAAGCTACTTCGTATCTCTTACTTATTTGTAACAGCCTGTATTTGGAACGAGATATCGGAAAACTTTTTTAATAAAAGTTGTTGAGAAGAAAAAAATCTTTAATACAATTCTTATTTCTTTGGGTATTTTGCCACCTGTGAAAAAAAATTAAAATTAGAGAAATTGCGCTAAAATATAGTAGTTTTGCCTAACCAAAAAATCTTATACTGGACAAAGTAAACGAATACTAAATACAAAAACACATCTCTTTTTATCGCGCAATTAAAACGGTTGCTAGCGTTTCGATAATCTATCGGTTTTCATCTGAACTTTTTTGACTTTTCGTTTTAATTACTTTTATAGAATTTGTTTGTTTTTAAACTGTTAAAACTTTTAGATTATATTATTTGACATTTGACCATCAAGACAACACTTGAGCGACTTTTTAAATGTACTCTTTATTTGAATAATTATTTTTTTGTTGCCTTTTTGTCGTCGGACATCGATAACGTTTTCCGTTTATTTTGAATTTTTGTATGTCTTCACATTTTATGAACAGAAATTTTTACTTTCCTTCGAATCCTATATGCCTAAAAAGGCAAGGACTTATACAATAAATATTTTGCATTGAAAATATACTCTCTTTGAGCTATTGCAATGTTCGTCAACGTCAATGTTCTGAAGGCACCACAACAACGTCGTTTAGTAATATTGATCTCCTTGTTTGTCTAGTGATTAATTTTGTTAGCACCAAATCGACCTTTCATGTATTTACCTTGAGAATTCCATACAATTTAATTCTTTAACAATTTTCAAATATTCATAAAAATTCTCAATTTCCTTATTAATTAACAAAAATTAATATTATGAGAATATAATTAAATAATTCTTAAAGCAGTAGTAGGCAGCTATCAAAACAAGAAATAAAGTAGAGTAGTGGTATGAACGTCATTGTGATAATTCAGCTGTAGTGAAACTATACAGGGTGTCCCAAAATTCATGTAACAAAATTTGCTCACAGATTCTTAAGACAAATTTAGGGGACCTGTATTTTTTATTTTTGCCAAGTGGCCCCCTCTTTCGGAGTTACAGCCCCCTGAAGTCCGCCCCTAAGAATAATGTTTTTTTATATCTCAGAACCCTGTTGTACGAGAATCACTAAATTTGGTACACATGGGTTTTATGACATGTGGAATCTGATGGTACTACGTTTTTTGGCGGGGAACCCCCTTAAGGCAATTTTTCGTTGGCCCTCTTGTCTTTGGAGCCAAAAAAATTTGGTCGCATATTTAAATTTCTTAAAAATTATCAGTCCACTTGAAAGCCATTAAATTTAGATTTTGTCTCTTCATACTTTTTTCGTAAAACGCAATGTTTTCGAGAAAAATATCAAAATGTGATCGAATGCATATCGTGATTCGTCATTTTCCTCAAAAATATTGCGTTTTACGAAACAAATATCAAGAGACAAAAAAGTTTCTAAATTCAATGGCTTTCTAGCTAAATAATTATTTAAAAAAAATCAAATTTGCGACTAAATTTTTCTGGTTCCAAAAACAAGGGGGCCCATGAAAAAGTATCTTAAGGGGCTTTCTCGCCAAAAAGCGTAGCACTGTGAAATTCCACATGTCATAAAACCCCTGTGTACCAAATTTAGTGATTCTCGTACAACATGGTTTTGAGATATAAGAAAGACTTCTTAGGGGCAGATTTCAGGGGGCTGTAACTCCGAAAGAGGGGGCCAGTTGGCAAAAATAAAAAATACAGGTCCCCTAAATTTGTCTTAAGAATCTGTGACCAAATTTTGTTGCATGAATTTCGGGACACCCTCTATATTTCAGGTATTTTATTGGGTCTATAAAGATTTAAATTTATTAAAATATTTTTCATATTAATGAAACGTTTAAAATTCATAAACTTGTAGCAAATTCACAAACTAATTATGCATCACTGTGATAAATGGCTTCAACAGAGATTTATGAAGACTTAGTCGACTAATTACCTATCCCTTATCATTCTGTCTGTTGCTTAATCCAAATATGTTCATGAACTACAATATTAAGTACAAATTCATCAAAGAATCGTAAAAACCATACAGAATCAATGAGCGAGAAATAACTCGTGTTTTATAAAAATAAGTTATTTTTAAAAACGTAAAATAAAAATTGGTTGATTATGACCAGTTTATTTTATTCGATAAATTATAAAATTAAATAACCATTTTAAGAGAAATAAGTACAATTGAAATTAAATTTAATTATGAATTGTCCATAACCATATACACAATTTAACAATTTAATTTTATCAAATTGTTACTAAATAAATGTCAGTTCAACAATTTAAAAGTGCCGCGATTATGACAAATAAAAATATAAACAATTTTTTTTCACACTACTGTACAATGCGAGCGTTTACAAAGTAGGGCACAAAAGTTAGAATTTTATGCACAGTTGTGAATATTTACGCAATTTTAAATATTATTTTGCAGGAAAAGCCTTTGGACTTAGTACTGTTACAAACAGGACAGAACTAATCGTACGGTCAACGTGACTTAACGAAGTAGAATAATCCACAGGGCCTCTGGCAAGGCCATCGAGTTGACACCGTATGAATAAAAGTATAAGACATGAGCGTAGCACATCACACATGTATATAAAACATCAAAGAAATTTTAACTAATTTTTTAGATGCCAACTAAGGTGAAGGTTAATAAAATTTTTCGTTTGTCAAATGACAGAGATATCCATAGTTTCTGGAGCCATTCTGGAGCGACATGACAACAAATAAATCTGTATAGCGGGTGTCTCGTGTCCGAACACCTATCTGAATGTCACACAAAAAAAAAACAAAAAACAACAAAATGTTTCAGCTCCTAAGGTTCTACATAAAATTTAATATTGTGAAAGCAACAAAAATCTCGATTGGAAAACATCATTTTTTGTTGATTTAAATGAAATTCATTATAATTACATTAAACGTAATAATAATATGTTTCTAACCTTAAATGCCATTTATTTCTATGAATTTATTAGGTATCACTGAATTCAAAAGAAAGCGAGAAAAAAATAATATCTATCAGATTAATTTAAAAAATATATCGTTCTATAAAAGAAAAATAATACAATCGTCTGCTACTAAGGCATGTGTAGAAAAAAAGTATCATCTTGCAGTGTTTTTTGAACCATTAACGTCAATTAAAAATGTCGTTTAACATTAGAATAAAAATTTTGAAATTACGGTCTGCGAGATTTTTTACGAGGCGACCGGTATAATAAAGAAGTTTTAATATGCAAATATACAGGATGTCTCAATACTTAGTGTTCATGGAACTATAGACTTTAGGGACCAAAATAAGACGATTTAAATAAACTTACCTCTATTCAAAATTCGTCGTTTAACAACTATATGGATAATGTTGGATAACAATTTTAGTATTTTTTAAATAACTCTTAAAAGCTAAAAGGCGTTCGAAAGGGTCGTTTTCTCAAAGAGGATTTATGTTAAAATTACTTAAATATAAAATACTTATAAAATAAATAAATGGCGTAATTACTGACAAAAATAATATTAGAATACGGGACTGACAAATTACTAAGTATATTGGTAGGCTAAAATTAAGAACTCATTAAATAGATAGACAGTGTACTCTACGGTCTAGCAGTACCAACAACGTCCAGTAATAGTGGTTAGTCGCTTAAGCTTCAACGAATCTAAAATATTACTACTCATACATCTAATCGTTAAGAAAAGCCAACACAAATATATCACTATATTGATAAATCGTAAACTGAGGTAATTATTAGCGTATAAGAATTATAGAATTTTTACGGTTACAATTATAGTTACTAGAGAATAGAAGTTCTAGTACGTAACATTTAACTTTATTTTATTACTTTTTACCTTTTTTTAATAACATTGTTTAAAATCGAAATTGATGAAATTTTGTATTCAAATCTTGTAAACATTGCTAAAATATTATATACGGGTGTTGCATCACGAGAGGGA